TCCCTTGCCACAGGAACAGTGGTTGTGAGCGGGCGAGCGGGCGAGCGGGCCGCGGGGCGTCTGCCTGCTTCCGTGGTCCGGAAGTGCCGAGGACTGCTGCCGGGACTCGGGGTGCTTCCCGAGGCAGAGAGCGGTCACCCAGACAACTGAAACGGCAAGTGGCCGAACTCTGCAACACGGCTGCTGCTCAGGAACAACGTATTGACAGCTGCAGCGGTCTGTTAGCAGTGACAGAGTCGACGACGGCCTCAGAAAGCTCTTCCTCGACGACGGCCTCAGAAAGCTCTTCCCAGCCTTGAAACTAAATACGTAATAAAATGTCTGTGGTTAAAACATCGTAAGTGCTTATTACAGAAATCGGGAAAAGCAAGTCCAGAGAGGGGTGCGGTTACCTCCAGCGCTCATCGCTGGTACTTCGGCCTGGGCTTCGTGACGCTCACAGAAATGGATGCCTGAATAAAATAGTAAGATACTTAAAGAAAAGACATCTGGAAAATATGTGAAGAAAATTAGAATCTCATCCTTCAGGAAAACTACTGCAGCACTTGTGGCTGATTTCCTTACAGTGTTTGCTCCTTCCTGTTCAGCGTTTACCGTTACTGGAGACCACACTGTCTAGTTTTGCAGGCCACTTGCTCACTGATGTTTGTATCACCAGTGTTTTTGTGTTACTAAATAGTCTGCATAAGTATGAGTTGAACGTATACAAACATTCAAAGTTACAAAAACTGTTCTCATTTTATTGAGAGATTTAGAGCGTGGAGGGTCCTGCTCTTCTTGTCCTCGGGCCGAGGCCCCGAAGATCGGGGTGGAGGAGTAGTGTCTCCCGTGTTCCCTGCACACAGAACCGTCCGCTCTGGTGTGCAGCTGGAGCCTTGCTCTGCTCGCCCACCCAGCCTGCCCTCGGCAGCCGCTCATCTCGTTACTTACCTGCAGGTGCCTGGCCTCCCACAGCCCAGTTTGCGGGCTGGTGAGAGCACCTTCATCCCTGGTGATTACTGGCCCTCTCTCGACCTCTGTCCTGGATGTAAAGGTGACGGCCATGTCCTGCCCTGTGCAGCTTACAGTCTAGGTGTGTGTGTGCAAGTGAGCGGAGTCTGGACAGCCGGGCAGCCCCTCGGAGGAGGCTGGCTCAGTTGGCCCCGAGTCTGAAAGAGGCTCCAGCGGAGAATGTGCCTGAGCTGAGGGTTTCAGCTCATGAGCCTCCAATGATTACCGCTGTTTTATGTCCTCTGTCATTTACTTCTCACTTGCCGACAGTCCGAGCTACCTGGGATGGACAACGTCGCTGTCGTAAGCCGGCTGAGCCTGCAGGCGGCTTGTGGTGTGTGGCCTGATCACCCGCTCCAGTGCTCGGTGGCCGAGGAGGTGGTGGTGACGCAGGGGAGGCAGGTCTAGCCGGTGGCCTGACCGGGGGAGGGGTGGTGGCGGAGCCTCCTCTGGGGGAGGGGAGTGACAAGATCTGATAGCGTGTCGGCCCCAGACGGAAAGGCTGGGTTCCACGTGAGGAGGGGGTCAGTGGAGACCCGGAGACCCTTGGAGCACAAGCCTGTGCCCTGCACCGGGTGGGCAGGTGGATGCTGTGTCATGAGAGGTCCACGGGCGCCCAGAGCTCATCCTTAAGGTGGTGCGGTCCTCTGGTGCCCTGTGGGGTGCAGGTGATCCCCCAAGTCCCAGGTGTGGCCAAGTGGCTTCACCTGGAGCGCCCTCTGCAGGCCGTGAGTGTTTGTCATTGTCTCTGTCCACACTGGCCTTTGGCTGCGCAGGCCAGGATCCTGCTGGCGGGACCCTCAGTGGAACTTCAGGAAGGAGGGAGGGGTGGGGGCCTGGCAGCACAAGCTGTTTCGTCTGTTATCTGAATTACCCTATTGAAGTTTTACTTCACACGCCCTCCAGCCAAATAAACAGTACTGTGAATGACACTTATGTACCTTTTCGTAAAGAACACGGAGCGGTCTGCAGATGCGGTGAGTTTCCTAGCCCTGCTGTTTTGTGTGGCTGTTTAAATAGTGGAGATGACTTGGAAAATGCTACGGTCTGAGCACCTTTATACACAACCTTCAAAAATGCTGTCTTTTGATTTTCTTTATGTAAATGAACATTTGTTACGTTTCTCCTAGGGAATCCCCTACGTCGGGACCATTTCTGAGCCGCTGGAGCCTGGAACTTCGATTGTGCTACGTGGGCACGTCCCTGGTGACTCAGACAGGTAAGTCCTCGTGTGAGAAGGGAAGGGACGGGGCAGACTATCTCCTTGTGACTGCGGGATGGCAGCAACGCGCAGTGCGGCCGCGGCCGTCCCGATGCCCCGAGGCCTGACCATGCTTTCAGCAGTGGCCCCGGCCAAGGTGCTGGGGAGATGGGTGAATGACTGAAATCCGGGTCATCTGGGGTTTTTATTTATACTGTGATTTTTAGTACAAAGAATTAGATACGTGATGAAGGGAACCGCAGTCAGATGACAGGGAGAGTCTAGCTGCAGGACAACCACCCCACAGTGTTTGTTAAGATCTGTGTTGGGTGGTTTTACCTCAGACATGCTTACTTTGGGGGCAAACCCTGGACTAGGCTGGATCAGTCTGAATTGGACTTGCCTTTCTGTGGCCGATGCCCAGGTAGTGACGATTCAGATGAGACGTGAGCGCTCAGTTGGAGGAGCTGCCCGGGCGTCCCAGGGCGCTCGGGCCCTCGCCCTGCAGCCCCGGGGCCGGCTCCTCTTTCTACAGATTCTTGGAAGCCAAGACTAGTCTTCACACCGTGTTTTGGGCCGCCGGAGGGGAAGGGCCTGGGTGGACAGAGGCAGCTGCCAGCTGGTTTTTGAGGCTGATTCTAGTGGTTTTCCCTCAACACTCCCCCGCACCCCCAAACTTGAAGCGAAGGCTGGAAACCTGGGCACTTACCCAGATGGGTCAGCCCAGCTACAGCTCAGGGTCTGTTATGAAGGAAGAGGGGAGGGGGTGAGGCAGCCAGGTAGTCAGGCCACGCGGGTGAGGAACCAGGGGACCCGTCACGTGTCCCCGGCCTCCTCTCTGAGCCTGTGTGGCCCGTGTTCCTCTCCATGCAGATTCCAGGTGGACCTGCAGTGTGGCAGCAGCGTGAAGCCCCGGGCGGACGTGGCCTTTCACTTCAACCCACGGTTCAAAAGGGCCAACTGCATTGTGTGCAACACTCTGAGAAATGAAAAGTGGGGGTGGGAAGAGATCACCTACGACATGCCTTTCAAAAAGGAAGAGTCTTTTGAAATCGTGATCATGGTCCTGAAAGAGAAATTCCAGGTGGGTCGTGGAGAGTGGTGGGCCCTGGGTGACGAGGAGCGTGCAGGGGGTCTCCTGTGGGGGGGCTCCCCCTGTGCTGCTGATGCCCAGAGAGCTTGCTCTTTCTCCTGTCTCGGGGGGGCGGGGGCGGGCCCCCAGCATCCCCTGTGGACACTGCCGGGCGGTGGGAGCAGGCCCAGGGTGGCCAGGCTTCTACCAGGCTGTGTCCTCCCCGTGCGGCACAGCGCTGTGCTTGGGAAGGGACAGTAAGCTGTCACCCCATGCCCCAGGGTGGGGGGTCCAGGCTACAGACACGGGATCCTGCAGTGGAAGTCGGAAGATTTTGTAGAGTTAAGTCCTGCTCTGGGATGGTTCTGCAGGAGTGTGAGATTTTAGACCCAGAGATCTGAGAAGTCGTCTGTGTAGCAAGTACTGTCCCCTGGCGCCATCCGGCATAGCTTGTGTAGGTGGAGTCTGGTCCTAGAGGCCCGACCCCGCCAGCCCCCAAAGCCTGTCTAGCCTCCCGGCACAGAGATCTGAGGCTCAGAGGAAGCCCCCGCAGCCCTGGTGCAGCCCTCCCCCTCCCGCCCCCAGCACGCCCCCTCCCCTGGCCTGGGGAGCGTCTGCGTCACGCAGTGTAACTCTCGTTCCTGTGCTGTTGTGCTTTGGTGTTTCCCGGCGTTTACTCTCCTGCCTGCTGGTGGGTTCTCAGCTCCTCGAGGTCGGAGCTGGGGCTGTGTTCCGCATGTCTCCCTGAACGTGGTGCCAGGCGTCTGCGGAGGGCGCGGGTGTCTGCTGTGCCTCAGGCCTTGGCTGGGGCCTCGTCGAGTGACCAGGGGCCCTTGGCAGGAGAGCCATCTCCTGCTCAGACGGGCGCCTGGGGAAGCCGAGTGGTCCGCCCTGGGCGCTTGTTCAGCAGGTGCAGCAAGGGTTCAGAGAGCACCTGCCACATGCGGGCTGGTCCCCTAAGAGCGTGGGCCCCTGGGACAGCAGGGGGCTCACTGCACCCTGCGGTCTGACCTGCGTGCCTCGTGCATGCGGACACGTGTCGTGAGTGCAGCGTTCGTCTCACCAGGTGGACTCAGGCTGGAGACACCCTCATCACAGCCTGTCAGACAGGCGTGTGGAGGCCTGTGGGGAGAGCTGTGAGGTTAAATCCGTGTCAGCAGGTTTAATTTGGGGAAGTTAGTAAAATGAACTCATGCGCGGTCCCCTGGGGGGCTGCCTTCTTTCTGTGCAGGTGGCCGTCAATGGCAGACACGTCCTGCTGTACGCGCACCGCATCCCCCTGGACAAGGTAGACACGCTGGGCATCCGCGGCCAGGTGACCATTCGCTCCGTCGGCTTTTGTTTCAGCCCGGTGAGTGCCACGCCCGTCGTCTGACAAAGCGGCAGGAAGCATCTTTGATGTCTTCTGTTGAGATGAGAAAACGTGAACAGCTGCCTCATTTCCGTATAAAGTTTCAGAAGTCAGTCTTCCAGACTAGTAAGAGCACCCAGATCGACCAGGGCCTTCCTGGCCGTGGATGGCAGATCTGGCCCGGTTCCAACAGAAACCCAAACCAGTCACAGCGGGGCGGGCAGACAGGCAGGCAGACAGCGCTCTGGCTGGACAGGGGCGTGTCCTCGACGCAGGAGCTCCAGGGTGGCTCCCGGGAGCGGAAGGGCCGCATCAGAGGGCGCCTGCACGTTCCGTCACGGCTGAGACCGCTAACCTGCCCTCCAGGGAAGAAAAGCGGGCGACAGCCTCGCCGCCTGCGCCGCTTCCTCCTGTTCCTGACGCTCATTCCTGCTTGTTCCGGGAGTGGGAGGGCCCTAGCGTCACCTGCATTTAGGGGTCATAATTTCCTAGCATTTTCTTGTTTAGTGCCATTTGTGTTACTGTCTTTGATGTATTAAGTAGATTACATTTAGAATCCTGATGGATGTTAAATCCTAAAAAATAATTAAGTTTCCGTCAGGGCGTGAGAAGTGCCCAGGCAGCTGCTCTGGACGGAGGTGGGTCAAGACCACGTAGACATTAAGTCTCTCCACGAACTCCTGGTTTAAAAATGTTTTAGTTGCCATGTAAGTCAGGTGGCGGGCTGAGGTTTCTGAAATTATGTTCTTAATGTGAAAAATTATGTCTTTAATAACTACTAGGCTGGAAGCAGTCACTTGAAACCTGAGGCTCAGTCTTGCGGGCACCAGGTGCCGTAGGTTCTGCCAATGCTCAGATGGTCAGAGGTCTGACCACAACCCAGGCTTGTGTACGGAGACCTCGCTGACTCTTAACTGCCGGGTAGCACTGTCGGTGGGTGTTTTGTCTTTTCCCCCCGTCGAAACGAGTGCAGTTTAAACAGTTCTTTGCTGCTGTTAGTGGGGGCAAAGAGGTCTCACAGACCTCAGCGCAGAGTAGAGCCTCGCATGTTGGGAGCACCCTGCACAGAGCCAGCAACCCACGTGCGGGGAAATCCGTGGAAGTGGTTAGCTTACGGTGGAGGATGTGGGCCTAAGACAGCCGGGACTGCCAGGCTGTCCCAGCCCACGTGGCACTTCACCACTGCGTGGCCGCTGTCGGAAAGCTCCGGCCGCCCGTCCGGCACCCCCAGGTCAGTGCGAGCGTGTGGTCTGACTGCTTTTGTTACAAAATGTTCTCTCTTCCCTGTCAAATGTCCTCATTTTGTCTTTGTTTTCCAATAGGTACCAAAGTCTGACATGCCGCAGTTTGTAAGTATTTTCGCGCTAACCCATGGAATGTGTTACCGAATTGCCCAAGAAAGGAATAGTTTAAACCTTGGAAGACAGCTTCGTTGGTCCCATCCCTTACTGCAGGCCTGTCTCCCTGCAGCCTAGTAATAGAGGAGGAGGCACTTCTAAAGTCGTGCCCAGAACTGTCTACACCAAGAGCAAAGGTTCGACAGCCAGTCACACTTTGACTTGCGCCAAAATTCTGCCTACCAACTGTCTGTCAAAGGTTTGAAGAGCCACACGTTTCTTAATTCTGTGTAATGAGTTAAGTTTTAGTTAGCTGTATGTGTAACCTGCCCTCGCAGACGCCCACGGCAGCCTCCCTGCGTTTGTCTGGGCATCCAGGACGATGTCAGCCAGCCTGGCATCACGTCCTGAGCCGTCAGTGCGTGTCCCCTCGGCCACCTGAGCCCGGCTGAGCCCTGACGCTGAGGGCCTCCTCCGAGGGAGCTTCCCTCCTCCGAAGGATGTCCGGTCCCCCCACACCCATCCACGCTTGTCTGAACACACCCTGGCGTCTGCTGAGAGCCAGACACAGGCTGGCTGCGGGGGACCTGCCCTGGGGTTTAGGGGGTCTTGGCCTTTAAGCGTTGCCTGGTGTGTTTGGACAGACTCCCCGCGAGACCCCATTCCGCAGGCTTCCTGGTGCTGACGGCGGTTTCTTCGCAGACCCTGCCCTATGTGGCGAAGTTGAACTCCTCCATGGGCCCTGGACGGACGGTCGTCATTAAAGGAGAAGTGAACACATGCGCCAAAGGGTATGAGAGTGGCCGCCGCATCGGGAAGGCTCTCCCCGGGTGGCACTCGGGCCGCACTCCCTTAAGTTTCGAGGTCGGGGGAGGGGGGTGGCAAGGAGCGGCTGCCTGGCAGGCAGCCCACTGTGAGGAGCAGGGGGCACATCGTGCCGAGGCCGGGTGTGCTTGGAGGGACCCTCTTCCTGCGGCTGATGAAATCCTTCAGTTTCTCCCAACCAGTTCTGTAGCCTTAATGTTGATTTTAAAGTTTTCCATATTTTTATTTCGTATAAAACATATCAATGAAACGCCAACTCAGAATTTTAAGTTTCTCTTTGAGCAGCATTCCAGGGTCCTCATGCATACTTCCTTGTAGTCAGAATCAGAGTTTCTCATTGTTAAAACTAAGAAATTGCACTACTGTCTTCTACTTGGTTAATTAGAGTTTTTTTTTTAATTCTCTCAAAAGCTTTAATGTTAATCTACGCTCAGCAAAATCCAGGGCAATTGCTCTCCACCTGAACCCACGCCTCAACAGTAAAGCGTTCGTGAGGAATTCGTTTCTTCAGGAGTCCTGGGGAGAAGAAGAGAGAAATATTACCTGCTTTCCATTTAGTCCTGGGATGTACTTTGAGGTGAGAGCATCTTTGTTGGAAATGAGGCAGGAAAGAGAAGCCTGGGGGTGGCAGTGGTCCGTTAAGTCGGATCCAGCTTCGCGGGTGGAGACTGCGGTCTGTTTACTCAGAGACATATTCCTGGAAGCTCTCTCGCCCTGGGGACCATCAGCTTCAGTGGCCGCGGCAGGTGGCGTCTGCACAGGGATCAGTGGCATTTGTTCTAGTAGGAATTTTGACAGGGACCTGGTCTCGGGGCTGGAGGAACGTGTCTAACCCAAGTGAACACGAGGACACAGGAGCCACAGGCCTGGCTGCACGGGCCGGCGTGGCCCCCGGGGCAGGACTCTGTTCCGAGTAGTCCTATTTGTGTGTTGTCAGCGAGGGATACGTTTAGACCGTTGGGACTTGAAGGCACCTGGTCCTGGGTCCCCAGTAGGTGCCTGGGCTGCCGAGCGCGATCAGCCTAGCATGTGGGTGCTGGGTGCTCAGCAGGGCTCGCTCACTGGCTTTGGTGACTCTTTGCCTCACAGGGTCACCGTGGGTCATTTACTCAGGTCCTGCTTCGACAGCGTTTTAAATTGTCAAGAGAGGCAATACCAAGGCTGAATAGAAGATGGCGGTTTGACGCCAATATTTATTCACATTTGAACACAGCGCCCTGGATGTGGTGTCAGACGCGAGCTAACCCCAGGCTCCCTGGAAGTCGTGGGTGTTGGTTTGGAGTTGAGAGGATGTGGGGGTGACTTGAGCAGGGCCCAGGTGAGGGTCTGCTGACCCGGCAGGAGTTGGGCGTGACGGGTGCCTCGGGGTCCCTGGAGGGGAGGAGGGGCTGCTCCAGAAGGAAGTGGCTCTTGTGGTTGGTGACAGGAAACCAGCAGCTTGTCTTCTGACCTGAGCCCGAGTCTGGAACTGCGGTATTAAAATTTAAAAGGACAGTAATGGGTGATCATCTTTCCCTGTTAGCTTCCCACTCCGGGAACGGTAGTTACTCTCCTGTTGGGCCACGTGTCAGTGTTTTGTCGTGACAGACCTTTTCCAGTAGCCTCGACCTCCCGCCTCGGGAGGGGATTCTCGGGCCTCCCCTCCGGCATTGCTTCGATTCTACGTGGTGTCTCTGCTCCTCATTAGTCCTCTCTCAGCTGTGATCTCATCTGTGAGCTTTTTATCAGATTCACGTTCTTCTGTTCAGATGGTTTGGCTGTTCAGGTGGTGTGAGGGATTCTGTGGTTTCCCTTGGGTCCGGGGTCCTCTTCCTTTCCCGCTGGTAACGCGCTGGCCCTGCCTGGTCCGAGGCCGTGAAGGGGACTGACTCCTGTTCCGCTGCGTCCACCTGCTGCTCGTCTTCCCTTCCGGGGGAGGCTGTGTTGTGTCCTCGTGAGATGCGGTGAAGGGTGCGGCCCCTGCGGCCCCTTCCACCCGGTGGTCGCTGGCTGCCCACCATTGCCGCAGGCAGGTAACCTGGGCCTGGGTGTCCCCTGTTTCTCCATGTGGCCCTGACTTCTGCCAGTTCCTCCACTGTCCCTGGGACACCACCCCCCCAAGCTCCCCGCAGCTGTCTCCATGAGCTCCCCAGCAAAAGAGAAAGGACTCGGCTTGCTGCTTTGCAGATGCAGACTCCGCCTCAGTCTGGTGCCAGGGCTGGAGCCTGGGAGCCCGCCGTGGGGACACCCGCCCCGGCGGCCTCCATGTGGGCTGGAAACAGGCAGAGGATCCGTGGTATCAGAAGCACAAGGCTTAGATGTAAAAGTGATTAAACGGGTAGCGGTTTCTTTTGTTTTTATCACTACTATGAGTTTAGGCAAAGACCTCTGAGGGGCTGATGCCAGTGATGCATCAGAACCGAATCTGCCAGCACGCTCATCACCCTCTAGTGTCACGGGCTGCCGAGCTCCCTAGCTTTGGAGAGACAGACGAGATGTTCTGAGCTGGGAGGGGACGCAGGGCCGCCAGGCAGCTGTGCAGCCAGTCCCTAGCCAGTGCCCGAAACTTGCAGAAGCTCACGCTGAGCGGTCCAAGACCCTAGGACTTGAAGCGAAAAGTCAGGACCCACGTGCTGTGGTTCCCGTCCCTGAACGGTTCCTCTTGGCGGTCTTTAGTGTGGCCAGCCATTGGTGAGGAGGGTGACACCCACCTCCAGGGACAAGGGGTGGAGGGGCGTGTGCTGAGGATGGAGGCCAGCAGGCCCTGGGCTTCCCGGAGTGTATCCCTGAGCGGGACGAGGCAGGAGGTGCCCCCGGCAGACACGCTTCAGCCCGATCTGGGTCTTGGGGATGACGGCGGGGAAGGTCCCAGAAGCAGGCTGGGAGAACGTCTCCAAGCGGTTTACTTGCTGACACTCTGTTCCCAGAGGAACCACTAACGCTGTGTGCTTCCCTTCCAGATGATAATTTATTGTGACGTGAGAGACTTCAAGGTGGCAGTGAACGGCGCGCACAGCCTGGAGTACAAGCACAGGTTCAAGGAGCTCGGTGACGTCGACACGCTGGAGGTTGACGGCGACATCCGCTTGCTGGAAGTGAGGAGCTGGTAGCCGCCCGCCTGCCCGCTGCAGAAGCTGAAATACAGAGTGGCTTCCGTAACACTGGCCTGGCTGGCGTGCGTCTTCCCGGCACGGCACGGTTCACGTACACTGTTAACTAGTGAGCTTGCAGAGTTCGGTCCCCGCACTCGGCCATGCCGGGCAGGGCGGCCTCGTGTTGCAGAGTCTGAGTAGCACCTTCTCGCCGTTACCGAGGCCTCTCCCCTCCCCTGGCCTCCCCTGCTTAGACCCCCTTCACTGAGCGCTCCCCTGCCAGCTGTGTGCTGGCAGCCCCCGGGCTCCCTGCTCTGCTGAGCTCAGACCCTCCTTTGCCATCGCACCATTGTTTCCTCTTCAGGCACTACATAAACTCACCAGGGACTTGAGAGAATCACTCTTAAATCACCTAAAGACACTAGCTTACAGGGTGACCGCTCACACCCAGGCTCAGCCACGTCCCGTAACCAGAAGGACTTGCACCTGGCGGTTTCCTTTAGCACCGTACTTAGCTCTACTAGCTGCAGGCATTACCAAGTCATTAACACGACGAACACCACACAGCACGAGAAGGCGAAAAAAAGCTGTTTGGCAAACAAACCAAATGGCGTTGAGATTTGCCTGATGTCAATCTCAAGGCCTCTGCTTTCCGCACCAGTAACTGCTCATTTTAGATGCTGGCACTGAGGGTGAGTCAGACGCCTGCACGCACTATACACAAAGTTCAAGGTGGGAGCAAGACGAATTCAACGTGTACAGTTTTACGGGAAACAGGGCAACGTCAGGATTAGACTGAGTGACGAGGCAGGCCCCGCCAGGTGACCTCGCCCGGCGAGAGGCAGCGCGAGCCCGCCCCATGCAAACCAGCTCAGCCCTGCGCTTCCGAGCGCGGCCCTGTCACCGTTAGCGCCTGAGATCAAAACAGCGTCCCGCTTTGATTAAATCAGGCCTGTGCCAGCAAGTCAGTGCTGCGCTGCTGGGATGTTTTGTTGCTCTTTGAAGAGAGCTGGCAGGTCTTTGTAGAATTCTTACAGGTCAGGTCTCGTTGCAGGAAACTTCAGAGGCTTGGGACGGGGAGGTAAACAGCTCAGTCAGATCATCTTATGGTAAATTGCTGGGCTGAACTGGCCAGGATTTGGGAACACTATCGTAACAGTTTTTGGTTAGGCGTGATTTGTAGTAATAATGTCTATTACCAGTCTTCCAGCACTAATGCTTTCCCACCTTTTCCTGTTAATTTATTGTGCTAAGTTGTGCAAGCTTAAAAAAAAAATGGAGGGGGAACGTTGGGAAAGTTGTGAAAGGCAAGGAGGGGGTAGAATCCCCCAGGGTTATTTTTCCCTTCAGAAAATAACATCTGATGACATAGGTTTTGGTCTTTTGGACCAAACCTCTTTAAAAACACATCTGATAAAAGCTGAGCTCTTTGCAAAAAAAAAAAAAAAAAAAACCACCAGAGGGCATGGCAGAAACTGAAGGCCAGTTAGGAGAAAAGGGAAGCCCACTTACATTGTTTTCTCCGTTTGAACAGTGCAGCTTCATTTTACATGGCTGCATCACTAAGACCTCAGACTGATTCTCTGATAGAGTAAATACAAAATCTTAAGATGTTTTTTGAAAAGAAACATTTCTTAAAGAGAAAAATGCACTCACCCACAGCAAGCTCTAACTCCAAACTGCAAACCAGCCTCTGCTGCTCGGTCCTAATTCTGCACCAAACCCTCAGATTAGATCAGGGGCTTTCAAACTCAGTTTGAACACCTATGGGAGAGTTCTAAGATGCTGTAAATTTTAAAAAGGCATGAATTAAAAAATAAAATGCCTTAAACAAAATAAAGGCACACTGGTTTCATTTTGAGCCCTCACTTTCCAGCCTCACCGTGACACAGCACAGAGATCAGAGAACTTCAAAGCTCTGAAAAAAACCTTCTGTCTCATACAAGGCACTCCCGGTTAGGCTGCAGTGGAAGCGCGGTCACGGCCGGTCCCGGGAGGCCCGCTTGGCGTCCCCGAGCGTGTCTGGGCCCTCCCCAGTTGTGGGTCAGGCGGCCGGGGGCGGTGGGGCGGCGTTTGTGAACAAGCCCCACCTCCCCCGCCCCCCAGAGACTGAAAGGGAAAGGAGGCCTCCGCCATCTGGGGCAACGCGCACACAGGAAGGTGTCACCCACCCATAACGCAAGTAAAATCCAAACGGCTTTCTAGCCGAGAGCACTTCTGCTGAGTAACCATCACCTCAAGGTAAGGAGAGAAGTCGGACATGGATACTGCGTACAGAAGACCTTCCTCCACCAGAGAAATCAGGGCCTCCAGCCCGCACGACCCCACTGCCAGCTCCGGGTCTGAAAGGAGACGCAGGAAACGTTAGCGATCGCGAGGGACGACCACAGCCAGCGCTCAGACCATACGGCAGCCCGCACGGGGACAGCACTGTCCTTTACTCGGTGACATCTCCACAACCAGCGGGAGGGGCCTGCGCGGGGCACAAACCAGGGGGGAGTTTTGTAAGGAAGTCCGAGGAGGTGTTAAGGCACCAAAAGTAACATGGTCCTCAACGCTCCAGAGTAAACTGGACGATCTCAACGCGGAACAGAGTCTGAGATACCAAGAGCCGCGTCCTAGAAGTAGCTCTGGAGGGGCTCTCCCAGCACAGCTTCCAGCCGCTGGACGGTCCTCTGGCACTGGCGTTCCACCTCCTCGCACTCATCTGCAAGATCGAGACATCGTGTCAGCCCGGCCGCCCCGCCGCCCCTCCCCGCCCCCTCCTCTCAGCCTGAACCTGACCCCGAACAGCGGTGCCTCCTCCAGGAGGGAGGGGACAGAGGTGCCCGCGCCGGGCTCCAGGCTGGCGGTGACTTGCTGACTGGGTCCCCTGCCCCCCCGCTCAACAGGCCGCACTCACTCCTGGGCTGCGCAGTGGCACTGTGCTCGCAGGGCCATGTCAGGAACTGCACAAATCTGGGCTGAGATCCCAGGCCCACACTCAGTTCATCAGGTCGCCTAACCCTTTCAAGCCCCTACTTTCTGTGTGAGGCAGGGGCACGTGCCTCGTCATGAGGCCTGACGGGGTCACTGGCGGAGAGCGCCGGGGAGATGCTGCTCAGTGACAGGGAGGCTCCCTGCTGCATCCTAGGCAGCGCTGGACGTTTCCCTGTGGTCAGCCCCACGCCCAGGGACCCGGGCAGTCAGCCACAGAGGTGGACGAGGTCACAGGAGAGCAGCACCCCATGGGCACTGTCGGCGCAGCCCGGGAGCGAGGATGAGTGACGGTGTCACACCGGGAACCATCCCCGAGGGCTGAGGCGTGGCTCTCACCCAGCCCCCCCACACACACACCAGGAACGGGCCTCAGCCCTGCAGCGGGGCAGGGGGCTGGCCCGAGACCCAGCCACATCACACCCCAGTCTGCATCCTCAGCGAGCACATTTCCACAGGACTGTACGGTCATCACTTCTGAATAGTTTGAGAATTACCTTCCATCAACTCAGCTAAGAAAGGAATGGATTCTGGCAGCAAGACGATATAGTTCTCTTTCAGTTTTTCAGCCACTGCTAACACAGTAATCAGAGCAGCAAATCGAACCTGAAAGGGATAAAAAGGTGAAGAATGTTTAAAAAGCTAGTATTTCTGCATTTATTACTTTATGACCTAACCTGAGACAAAGTGAATTTTAAACTCAGTGTTATTTCACATGTGTTTCACTGTGTCCATTCAGCCAGCACCTCAGGTCCCCACGTGACAGGTGGGACCCGCGGATGCTGTGGGCAACCTTACAGATCAGTGTTTTCCAACTGTGTCCTCGTGCTGCAGGCCTTCCATGTGGATGTCTTTTTATAACATTTTCCTTAAAAAAAAAAGCTGGTCGCCCTCCTTCTGGTTTGGGGCAGTTTAAAGGATATTTGGATGCAGTAAAGTGAGCTGTTTAAAAACGTATTTGTAACTGCGTGTGGTCAACCAGGATTTTCTTGGTGTTGTACTGTAAAAGAAATTTAATTTAATACTGCAACTTTCCAAGAACCCACAGTTTAAAATTCGGGGGTCCGTCGAAATGGTCTCATTCTTTTCCTTACTTCCCAATGTTATGAATTTCGAGTAATAAATCCATTACTTAAATGCTGCTTTGGTTGTCTCACCCACTGGGCTTTGACTGTGGTCACCGTTAGTCTGAAACAGCAGACGCTTGGAGTCTGAGCTCCGGTTCGCCCTCCCCGCCCCCCAGACACAACCGGACAGGACGCCGCCAGTCCAAGGAGCGCTCTAGATAGACTGGGAGCATCTGTCTCTGGAAGCACTACATTTAAATGGTGCTTAAAAAACACGAGGCATTGAAGTCCTTTGGGCACTTTCGGACCCGTGTCTAACACCGTGGGGGTGACAAGGCCACTGCTACTTGTAAACGGCCTGTGAGTGACAAGCAGACGCTCCCGGCCGGACGACCAGCACCGGACCACGCCCGGCCTCGGTGCCGCCCGCCGCCGCGCACCTTGGGCGAGGAGTCTCTGGTCTTGAGCAGAATCTGGTAGTTGAGTGGCTTCCAGAGGGAGTCGTCGGCCACAGCCACGGAGAACTGTGCGATGCACGGGACCAGGTGCCGCGTCACCCGCTCCTGGAACCTCTCCTCTCCCCCGAGCCTGTTTTCCAGCTGTGAATGGAGAGACAGGCTCTGAGCAGAGGGCATCACTGCTGTCTGAGAAAACGCCCAACGTATGAACGGCGCTCCGCCATCCTTCCTGAGGTCAGCAGGCTCGGAGCCAGGGCCATTTATTCTAACTTACCACCTCCGCTGACCTCAAACAGAATCTCAGCCCCTGGCACCACCCCTCCCTCTGCGGGACGTCCGAGAGGAGTTCTTCCAGAGGCAGCCGCACCCCGACAGTCCCAGTGGAGCCGGGTTTTAAGAATTAAACATTTAACTCATAGACCTTATCTCATGCCTCTTACCTGAAAAATTCAAAAGTAAAACCTAGTAGATGCCACCATGAAGATAGGTTTCATTCATGAGAAATGAGAAACCAGTTTTGAAATAAGCTCATAAAAAGGAAGAAAAACAGCCCAGCGAGCCGTCACCCTGGCAGACGGAACACCCACAGACGCGTTCCAGCCGCGGCTTCCGCACCTTTAACAAGACGGCAGCAGCTGCTCACCTGATCCACCAGCGGCGTCATCAAGGCCTCTGCTCTCTCTTTACTTATGAAATGCTGGGTGTCAAAAAGGAAGATTTTATACAAGCAGTTCAAAATAAACTGCAGTAGCAGGCAGCACTTTTCAGGGTCATTTTCAGAGTCAAAAAACGCTTCGTCTGTAGATAAGAGAGTAAAAATGGAAACAAAAAACTGAATTTCACAATTTAATCTCTGGTGTGTAATTTCAAATCACAATGAAAAGAGCTGTGATCAGAAGGTATTTCTAAGATGATCTGGAAATCCATCAGGATGAGGCAGAACACAACGAACAGCAGCCTCTCAGGGAGGGGCCCCTCCTCCAGACCTGGTGGGAGTGTGTGAAGACAGCTGAGTCTGGCCGGTCACATCACAGCTGTCAAGTGCGCTGCGCGTTAGCATTAAAGAACAAATCAACCTGAGCTTTAAGGTTTCACAGTTAACTCCCAATAACATTTGAACATCTGTTTATCCTTTCTCCTCAGTAAGTCAGTTAATTCACAGCATGCGGAGACACCTCAGCGTCTGACACCTGACTCAGAAGAACCCAGCCCGGTACTCACTGTACGCTGTGTGGGGTGCACAGGGCAAGGGCGCCAACTGACCTGGAGTCAGCTACCAACCTGTTTTGGAGATGTTCACCTGGTTCAAGGTGTCAGCAAAGGGCTTCACTAGGTGGCCGGCAAACAGGGTGAAGAGCCCTTTGAGCGTGCCAGCGATGCGGTCCGCCAGGTTGCAGAACGTCAGCAGCCTGTCCTTCGGGGCGTCCTCCGCTCTGGCCCAGTCAGACAGCTGCGAGGACGCAGTGGCGTCAGCTCCCCTCAGACTGGGCTGCCGCCACACGAGCACCGAGGCGGCGCGGGGGAGAAGGCTCACCTTGAAGAACAGGGGTCTGAACGTAACCTCGGAGAGTTTCACCACCATGGCGACCAGACAGTCAACGATATGGTTCTCTGTCTTCCCAACTTCCTCCAGGTCACTCTAAAAACAGGAGTGTTGATTCAGTAGAGTCCTGACATCTGCAAGCCGTGCAGACAGCCAGGCTGCTCTCTGGCCCCCAGCTCTGGGGCCCAGGGCAGCGGCAGCCAGCCTACCTCGGCGTGCTGGGCTCGGAAGTCCAGGGCCTCCAGGAAGAAGGCGGTGAGCTGCGGCTGGTGGGAGGCCAGCTCCTCCTTCTTCATGACTCCGAGATGCTCACGCAGGATGCTCATGCACGGGCCCAAGTGACTCTAACACACAGTCGAGAGAGGAGCCCCCTTTTAGTTCATTAATGCATTTCTAATGGGATTAAATAACCACATTCTTCTTTAAGTGACAACTGAAAAATGTCGGTGCTGTACCCGCCTCCCCCAAAGCCAGACGCCTGGATAATCTAACCTTCCAGGTCTTCTCAATCTGCCTGTATGTTTTGCTGGCGGCTGGCAGGAAGACTCGGGGTGACAGAGTGCCAGCCAGTGTCTTTTTAAGGGACACGAGACGGACATTAGCCTGGGAGGCAGCGCCCAGCTTGCTGGTGATTTTCTCCACATGAATCACCTGCAGGAACAGGAAAACGACTATCAGGGCCGCCGCGGGAACCCGCCACAGATGGCTGTCCACGGACTCACAGGCCGCGGTGACCAGGTGAGGCCGATCCGAACGGCACGACCGGGCAAGCCCGGGGCAGCGGGGCCACAC